CAAAAGGAAAACTTGAGTGATACTACTTTTGGTGACAAGAGCTAAAATTATGATGTTTCATCATTTACTGCAGACGAAAAACATATCCGCTCCAGTAATTTTGTTATTCATGTAGAGTAACCAATGGGGGAAGGGGGTGGGGGTATAGCGCTTTAGAAGTGTATTTATTTCTCCTTCCCTTGGTTTTAACACCACGCTTTGATGTTTGTCTGATTTTTTTCCCTTTTTTTCCTTCCATAGGGTTTGGCCAAAGACAAGGTGAAAGAGATGAGAGAACTTATTTTAGAGAGATACGACAAAAATTATGATGGCCGTTTAGAAATTGACGAGGTCGGTAAAAGACGGTTTTCTGTTTCAATTTGAGTTCGAAATTTAAAACTTCTGAGTTAATTGCAGTGGCGATGCATTGTTAACTCATCTCTCCATATTCCGTTTGTGTTTGCAGTTAGCACAGATCTTACCAACAGAACAGAATTTTCTTCTGCAGTTTCACAGAGAATCCAAAATATCCAGTGTAGAGTTTATGAAGGTAAGAAACATTACTTGAGTCACATACTCTTCGGTCTCGTGAACTCCGAGAATAACTCCTTTTTGAGACAGGAGAGAGGTCAACATGACAATCTGTTGAATACCCCTCTGTTTGATACAGTGTGATCCCCCCTTTGAAATATCCTGGCTAAGCCCCTACCCTATAGCAGTGGTATTTGGGTAATTGAGTCTAAATTTGATGATAGATCCGTGTTTTTGTTTTTTTTTTTAGAAGAACGATTATTATGCCTTCCTTTGCCTTCATCTTTCGTAACAACTAGCTCGTGTCTTGAGAGTGTCTCAATAAAGTATTGAATAAGGATGTTGAGAAGAGCTCGCTTTCCTTTCAGATTTGGAATCATTATGATGCTTATCGTGAAGGATACCTGGAGAAAAAGCATTTACGGGTTTGAGATATTTTTAATTTATTAATTTATGACTTATTTGTTATTTGAATTATAAACTGCCTCCTACATTGTAGTCCTATCAATGGCCAACATGACAGATAATTGATGAATTGAATGAATAGGTCTAAAGTAAAGTTTTCGTAGTTTAAGATGGAATGATGTATAATGAAAAAGACTAGATCACTGAATAATATAATCGAGAGTTGAAATGGGCTTTTTCGCCATAATGCACACAAACAATAGCCTCCGTTTGGAGCGAAAATATGCCCAGATGATCATATTTGTCTACGATGATCATTTTTTGTTTTAAGAAGCGAACTGTTTTCCGAGCAAAGCTCGAACGCATTTACTCGTAAAAAAATGTTTCTTTCTTTTGTTTATGCCTTATATTGTAGGGTTTCTTCAAAGATCTACTGACTGTAAACAATCCACATGTTAGTCCACAAAGAATTGAAGAGTTGGTCAATGGAGCAGTTAGTATCTTGTCTTGTTGTTTTATTCTTTTTATTTCAACATCAAAAGGAAAAAAAAAAACAGTCTGACCGTAACTTTGTTTTTATTAGTCTTTTCCTGATGTAAAAGAAGTTCCAGAAATTGCCATCTCTGCACTTGCTTGACAAGGAGACAAGCTTCACAAAATGACTGAACTGTAACAGTCAGTGTATGTGTTACCAGATCAGTCCGAAAGCTCCTTATTCTCCACTCACACAGCAATGGTACAGATCCAACCCATGTTGGTAGACATTTCGCTATTTTTTGAGCATGCCCGATTCTTATGGTTGGTTGGCCGTTGGATCGCTGGATCGCTGTACCACTTGTGTTTATTTTATTTTGATTTTCTGTTACTGATCATGCTCCTAACTTTCTACTCTAGCTGGATTCATTTGACAAGAACCAAGATGGAGAGATAGAATTATCCGAAATGGCCAAGTAAGCTTTTCAACAAATGCGTAGTTTAGAACTTTGTAGGCTTCGTATAGGACGATTTCATAGGGGTAACGGGCGAGACCTGTATACTCAAGAGACAGGATCCTCAGAAAGCAAGGGGCTGGTAGTCGGGACGCAAGGAATAACAAAGTCCTTGTAAGTGCGCCTTTTTTTCCAGGGTCGTTGCTAACTGCTCCTGGGTCTCAGTTCGAGTGAGGTGTTTACCCCGATCGCACTTTCCTGAAATGCAACCCCACCTCGACCTTGACACAGCAGTGTGACGCTGGTGTTATGGCAGGAAGACCGTTCATGAACCCACCCTACCCGAGTGACGTAATCATTCTGTTCTCATGAACTATAAAACGCCTTACCTAGCGTATAGGATACCAATGATTCTCTAGCAGTAAAATAGGCTATCATTTGTTGGATACGTACAATGTGTAGTCCTCCTAAAATGAAACTTAAAGTCTTTTGTTTCATTATTTGCAGACTTCTACCCGTGGAAGAGAATTTTCTTTCCAAATTTCAGGTAAGATCGTGCACGCGAGTTAATCGCGACAGGATTTAAAAGCAGCTTTTCTCATATCTTAATACTTGATATCTTTGTGTACTCTTCATCTACAGATCAGAGAAAACCTCTCTAGATCGGAATTTGAGAAAATCTGGTACCACTACGATCAGGTAACTAAACAAGTTAACTTAAAGGATACCATTATTTATTTCTGCCTTTTTGAGCCACTTTTGTAGTTGTTGTTTGTTATTTGGTTGTTTACCAAGCTTCACTACTCACAGAAACCCATTGACATGAGTGATTTACTTCTTGCAGGATCACAATGGTAGTATTGGCGGCGCTGAGCTTGACGCCCTTATAAGAGATTTGTACATAAAGAATAATAAGGTAGAGTGAAGTAATGGCGGCATTTACGAGAGATGCTCGAGCTGGAACATCATGTTATCTTCACGTATCGTGACAGCGTTCTAGACTGCCATTCTTCTACTTACTTTTGAGCTCATTCGGTTAGCGAGTCACATTCCATCAGTGAACGTAGCAAGGATTATTTGGACATAGGAATGAGAAAATCCAAAGACGTGAAAGCCAACACCAGTGCAGGTGTGGGGCTTCCCTTGCGAAACGGAGAAAACAACGTTTTTCGTTGAACAGCTGTTTGGCTTTTTTTTTCTTTTTTTTTTTCTGTTTGTTCGACATAAAGCAAATAAGCTCAATAAATAGCGAGACCTTATCTCAAGAAGAACAAAACAAAGTTGAGGGAGGAACATGGCTACAGGAGACTGTGTTGAGCCACACATCCCTGGCTTTTAAATATCGGCTCTAAAACTTTGTTAAAAATAATTTACGAACCAATAATCAAGAGTTAACTAGGTGTGAACAAAAGTCTCTTAAAAGTACTGAAAAAGTCTCATTTAGAAATTAAGAGAGAGAAACTTTTGTGTCAATGCGGTTGTCGTAACGCCAAGAACGCAACTTTGCGTGACATTCACGTAACACCGGTAACCATATCAAGTTGTTTTCTTTTCTCAGGAGCCACCAGACATGAAAACCATCAGTGACCAGCGTGACATGATTATGAGGTTTGCAGACCGTGATGGTGATGACTCCATACAGAAGGAAGAACTCGGTATGTTTTTCTCAGTGGCGCAGTCAAGACGAGTTCAAGAAATTAAGGTTGATGTGGAGGTAAGAGAAGCGGAGAGAAAAGCCGAAAAAGATGCTGAAAAGCAAGAACAAGCGAAAAAGCCCGACGATGGAGGCTCTACTGACGGAAGCACAGGATGTTGCTGGCTTCTGTGATTAAAGCGAGCCATGAAATACACAGAGATGTCCTTTGCACGACTTGTTGGAGTGTCTTCGACTACGAGGCGTGCTGCCTTATCGATTCAGCCTGTTGCCATGGTTGCTGCAACGTGTCAGTATATCGGTATAGCAAATTGACACTGCTAAATAAAATGTTAATTCGAAGTAATGCTTAGAACAGACTACTACATTTGAACAAGAAGAGTTTCACAACTCATGAGTTTTATTATTGTACGCCAAAATCGCTATAATAACCACAGATATCACTACCTCCTCCAAACCCTATCTTTGTCCTCTGACGGCGACCTGATCAAGGAAATTATTGCCTCCATATATTTCATTTACTGACTACATTTAACACACAATAAAGTAATGAAAATGTTTAATTGCTTTCTGATCTCTGCGTTTTAAATTACATAAATATCATTTTTTCCTTTTTTCTGCCAGGTGAAAATACATCATCATTATCTCTGTCAACAGTAACAAACTGAAACTCGTGAAGATCTTCACAGTCATTCAGTTTCTTCAGTTTACACACTGTTGACATTTTACGTCGTTCTCTGCAGAGCATGTCATCTCCTCTTGTACCTAAAACAAACAAAGAGAAAATCAGTACAGGAGTAGCAAAGTACCAATACTAAGGGTTGTAAGAAGGAGCCCAACCAATACATAGGTTGGGCTCCTGCTTACAGCACCCAAGGTGTTCTTCTGTTCTTTTGTCAATTTTATTTTTTACCGAATTTGCCTGTTTCACGAAAAGTTAAACACCATTTCGTTCACTATAATTATGACAAAAATCACAATGGCCAACAATCTACCTTGTGGAGCTTCGTTTTTGCTTCTTCATATTAACGAACGGGAGAAAGTAAGAAAGCTAGCACGTACGGACGAACGAACGAAGAAACGAACGAACGAACGAACGAAAAACCGAAGGACAAACGGACGAACAGACGAATGAAAAATTTTCGCACGAACAACGGACGGTGAATGAGGGACGAGGGACCAATCTAAGAACTGAGTGGGGAAAGAAACTCGAATGACCAGTAAAAGAATGATTCTTACATACTAGTTAGCAGTTTCCTCTAGAGTAGGTTGCAATTTCTTCGCCAATTATTAAAATCAACAAGGCTGAAGGTCTATCAACTGACTCTTTCTTTTGGATCTGTCACGAAACTGTCGAGTAGATTGCAGATAACATGCAGAACAAACTCTTAAATTGGCTAACCTTTTCTTGGATTTAAATCTTCCTTGATTTTTCTTAAATGTCTTTGTCTCCTCAGGTCTTGAACTGAATAATAAAGAAGGAATGAGTTCCCTGAGTAGTGACACGTGGATACATGTCAAAATCCTTTGGAAATACCCACTCTAACTGATATCATCAATAGATAGATGAACGAAAGAATTAATCAGTATATTAATGCAGTAGGAGGCACCCATTGCTTAAACCGAGACCACCACTGGTCACCATTCAAATTCTCATTACAGCAAACGAGTCGTAGACAGGAACTGTTAATACCCTGTAAAAATCACGCTATCAAACGAAAACTGTCTAACCTCTGTCTATATGTTTTTAGCGCCTTTTTGCTCGTATCCGTAAGTTCTTTATCAAATGCCTTCAGCCGTGAACTGCTACCGTTGGTTGATTTCGTCTTTGAGGATTTCCCTACAAAGAAAGGCAAACATCAGAAATATTACTTCCCATCAGGAAGACGTAAACAACTACTGCGTTACTTCACGTTAAGATAAGTTCCGTATTGAATAAACCAAACCACGTTACGTAAAATAGGGTAGAAAGAAAGGCAGGGAGAAAAAACCTTTAGATTTGAAGTCGGGTTTGTCCGCTGGAAACGCATGTAACCGTTTCTTTTTCCTCGATCTCTTGGCTTCCCGAGTGATGAATTCCGCTTCTTTTCGTTTCTTTTTGTCTTCCTCCTAACAAGGCAAAATGAGCGTCAGCAAAACTCAAAACGATAAATTCAACTGAGAAATTTTCTTTTGCAATTTGCAGCTGAGGAAGGGGCAAAGAGTTGAACTTGAACTGCAAGCTGTACAAGCACAAGCTAAGGTCTTCTTATCACCGCCATGACTTGACTACTTTTATAGATACATGCAGGTCTTTCAGCTGGGAGAACTAACGAAAGGGGCAATTCAAGACATCGCTTTGATTAGAAGAGCACTAACAAAAGCTTTTTCTTAATAGCCTTGTAACCATTAGCAACGAGAGAGACGTCTAATGACCAAGTAGAGAAAAATGTCTAGGCTTACTGGATGTGTCGCGGTACAATTGTACGGCTCAAAAGGCCATATGCAATAACATGTATGTTATCGATTTTGCTACTTTCCCAATTTTGTAACAACAGAAATAATGTACAACTGTAAAATACAAAACGCTTACACTTTCATTTATGTTTCCTGTGCTCTTTTTCTTTTTCTCCTGTTTAGATTTCTTGCTGGCGGGATCATTCGCTGCTTTATCTATTAGCAACAAATACACAAATACATTAAACATGTAGAATGTACAGCGGTACAAGAAAGAGAATTTTCACAGCTCCGTTCTAAGTTCTTACCAGACTTCCTTTTCAAGTCTGCTTTGCTCTGAAACCACACCCGAGGGGGCCTGGAAAAGATTTCTTCCTCGTGTTCGATTAAATTGCGTGCCTTGTTCATCTCCATCTCAGAGATCCTCAGCTGAAGAGAAAACAGACAGTTTGACCCTTTAACTTGCTTGAGTGACTAAGATAGAATTTCTCCTTACTACATCAATACAACATCAAGCAGACAAGTGATGAGAATAAAGAAAATATCAATGAGGGTATAATTAGTTGATCCAATACCAAATTCTCTGAACTGATGCCATAAGAATGGTATGGCAGACAGTAAGGAGAATCACTTTTGAGATCTCGGGAGTGAAAGGGTTAAGTTGAAAGCATTCGAGTGGCTGCATGGTGAAACAATTTTGTACGTAACACTTCAATCCCCTCAACCCTTCAATCTCCTTACACTGTCACCCTTGAATCAAATGCAAAGGTCATGGGAAGATAGAAAATGATCACCAATTTACGAAGCTCCGGATTATCAAACAAATTCTCCTTGTCCGCACAAGAGGGAATGCAAAGAAGACAGTGTGGAGAATATGAAAAAAAAAGTTAGGGTGGAAAGGATTAACAAAGTCTAATTTAGAATACCACAAAGTCGCTTTTTAAAACGCGCTTATCTGAGTACAGGTGTTGTGGGAAATTTTGTGGGATTTTAGTCTCTTACCTCTTTTTCTTCGCTTTCTTGTTTAAGAATTTCCTTGAAGTCTTTCTCAAGTCCTTGGATTTTACCTTTGTATTTCTCGATCACCTCTGAGAAGGAAAAACAATAAATAGTCTTAATCCAACCCAGTTAAAATACTTCACAAACAAAGCGGGTGACAAAAAAAAATAATGAAAGCGCGATACATTCTTACCCGGAGGGACTATTCTACTTTTCACAGGCGTCTTTGCTGATTTCACAATCTCTTTCAGCAATTTTCTCTCTTTCTCTCCGACTAGTGACACAGATCTGTAAGTAAGGATGGAATTACTAACGCAGCAAATATTACACGGAGCAGAAAAGCTTTTTTCTAAACTGTAGCACGCTTGGTTCCAATCTCTCAATGTCCTCTTACCTTCCACTCCGTCCGGCGCGAGCCGTTCTTCCAACTCTGTGAATGTATTGTTTAATTGTTGGTGGCAGACTTGCATTAATGACCTGTCGAGAAAGGAATTAAGCGCTCAGTTTTCGACATAAGTCTCCTAACACCAGAACTAAAGAAATGACCATAACCATTCACAACATAGGATATTGCATTAAGTAAGGCAAAAGCAATGCAATCCGACATCAATTTCCACAGTTGCTCTAAAAGTGGTTCAGCTTTGCTTGCCATACTGGACAAAATGCGTGAAAAATAAAAAAAAGAAAAAAGAAAAAAAAAAAAGGCCAGGACAGCGTGAAATAAACAATACGTGTACAGTGCAGTAATAGAATAAATTTTCATCCCTACCGTTTTCACTCCAACAATATCCAATCCCCTGGATGCTAAATCTGTAGCCACTAAAATGTCAACTTCGCCTGCCTTAAATTTTCTTAATGCTTCCAGCCTCTGAGGTAACGAAAACGAGAACACAAAAATCTATACAATCGTCTATTAACAAATTTTACTAGACTTCTCCATGCCGTCCTTCTTTATACAACGCTCAAAGTGTTTCCCTTCTTTCTATCAGAAAATCTGTTTCAACTTGCATATATACATGAAAATTTAAATATTCAAGTACCTTGTGTAATTATAAGTTGTCCTATATTTACAGTAAACTCTCCTGCCTGACATACAGTGTACATGTACTCAGACATAAAGCAAAGTAAAAAAATAATTTACAGTCTATGACATAAAGACTKGTCGCCCAGTCTTCCAAGCTACAGTAAGAGCTCATGTGTACAATGCATAAATCTTATTAACCAAGCGCGAGGGCCGCACAGGGAGAATATCGGCCAGAGGTCTTGACAATACGGACCGAGCGCAGCGAGGTCCGTACAAAAAAGACCGAGGGCCGATATTCTTCCAGTACGGTCCCGAGCAAGCTTGGTTAATAAGAGATTTATTATACGACTGAAGTTCAAAGGGACACAAGTGCGGTATCATTCGGGACCGTGCCCGGTCCAATACTGAGAGAATATTGACCGGCAATAGAGCATTTTGATTGGTTGATTTTAGTTATTGGCCCTCTGACTGCCTGAGTCGTGTAATAATGAAAATTATCCTCATGGTTTTTTAAAAAAAAATACATTACGAAATAACGCAACACTTGTGTATAACGAAGTGTCCCGCACCTGAAGCTGAGTCAAGTTCCCATGAAGTTCCTCAACATTCAATCCGAGGAGCCCTAAGACGATTCTTAATCTGTGAGCCAAGTTTTTAGTTTGTAGGAATACTAGACAATGTTCTTGGAAAGTTCGACTGCACAGCGCTGCAAGAAGATTCAGGTACATGACATTAAATTAAATTGTATGTTTTCCACTCGCAGTAATCGCCACAAAATAAACAAAATATGATCAGTTCACTTTTATTTTAAGAGAAAGGAAAACTAGAAAAAAAAAAAGTGAGGACAAAGAGGAGAACTAAAGAGTAAAGATTGCTGGCTATAGGGGATAGCTTATCACTCTATACTCAAATGCTTTTGTGGCTCGGACCTTTTCGAATTCAGAACCTTGCGTGGATTTCGCAAATGGCCACCTACTCTGCTTCTCATTGGCTAGGATTGTAACAAGTTGGTCACTAGAGTGCATTTGCTTTAAATGTGAATCTACAGTATTTCCTGTGTGCCTTTTTTTTTTTAGCCAACAGGGGCTTAATTCTTCGACACTAACCGTAATAATTAATCAGTTTGTACTGTTTTTTGTTTGTTTGATTGGTTTTGGGGTGAAAGTGAAAACAATTTCCAAAGGATATTGTCGGTCGTCTTTCGACCAACAGTCGGCTGACAGTTTTCGTCGCATGTATTCTTCATTGTACCTGTTACTATTGCTAAACGGTCCTCCTCTCTGTTCTTCCTGATTCTTACAAATTCTTGTCTCAAGTTATGGGCCACGTCCGTGTTATTGTCTACAAACAACCTCACCGGTTGATTCAATGAAAGAGTTGCAAGTTCCTCCACCTACAGTGAAAATCAAGAGGCACTGTAATGATGGTTACCTGTACACATACGGATACCTTAACTCTCTACACCCTTTATTCAAACCTTTATTCAAAAATATTTTGGTCCTGCAAAGGGTTCGCCATCACGCAAGACATGTAAACAAATTAGGAATTTTCATAAAAGGAAAAACGGATAAAAATTATACAATATATACAATATTAAAAGGTTAACATTAAATGAAATACTCAAATAAACATCAACATCCATATTCTCTATGCTCTTCTCTATACATTTCTTTTGGTTCCATAAAGAGAATTTGTTTAACAATCAAAGAATCCTACGTTGGTAATCATTTTCTTTATTCTCATAAAAAAAAAAATTATTCTTAATGAAAGATTCAACAATATTAATGTAAGGAGAAATTAGATGCTGATCACTTTTTGGGTTACCTCGTCTGTCATTGTTGCCGAGAATAACATTGTTTGCCTTCCTCTTGGACTAAGTTTAACAATTTCTTCCATCTGATCTTTAAAGTTCTCATCAAGCATCCTAAGGAAACACGCATAAACAACACACCATCTCAATAAACTTACATGAAAGATAACAACTTATTTTATTACCTAATGAATAAAGGGGGTAAGTTTCTAAAAAAACTGTGGTGCCGCGTC